TTCACTCACACCAGCGGATTTGCATTGATCCACAGCAAATGAATGAGGATTAGCAGCGTCAAGCTATCTGCCGACAGATAAATAACATTAAGCGCATTATACGGCAACACGTGTCATTAATGACTTTACAAACAGCACCAGGACCGGGGCAATTATGGAAAACAATGGGAGAGTCTAAATAACGCACTGGGTTTTTTGGATCTTTGGGCGTCAGATCAGAGACGCAGCGGCCATGTTGGCACGGTGTTCTGTTAGGACGCGACTCTTGGAACTCTGGGTAATGAGCTGACGTTTGACAGAGTATTCACGGTTACTTTGTGTGAAGCAGTAATCGGTCAGATGTGAGATACTGTTTTTGGGTCTCAGGGGTCAGAGGTCAGAGGTCAAGTCAGGGGTCTCCAACTCACATGATGAGAGGGTCACTGCTGTAACCGTGGTCTATGAGTTTTCAGGTCAGAGACAAGGTGGTGTCCATGGTGATGATGATGATGACGTCGATGGTGATGATAGTGATGATGATGATGGTGATGACGGTGATGATGGTGATGTCGATGGTGATAATGATGTTGATAGTAATGATGGTGTCGATGGTGATGATGGTGATGATGATGGTGATGATGATGGTGATGATGGTGATGATAGTGATGATGATGATGGTGAGATGATGATGATGATGATGTCGATGGTGATGACATCACACACCCTGACTGTGTTCTACCACCTCACTCCAAGCTCACTACAGAATCCCAGCCAATTCTTCACCACGACGCCGTTCAGGTTTAATTACGGCACTAAACGATTTTTATTCGTGTGTAAATAATTGACGCGGCTTTGACAGGTCTGCTCTGAGAAATATGATCCAGCGTTTACGCTGCGTTAATAAGCCACCGTTCTTACCTGCAGGTGCTCACGCCTTTTAACTGTGGCAGGAGAGAGTGGAGTTCTTTGGGAGTAATACTGAGATATGATTGACACTTAGACTACAGTCAGAACCTCAGTCTTTGCGGCGGTGGCGGCGGTGAATGGATGGTAGGCAGGAGGAGAACTCGGCGCTCACTCACTCACTCCTCCTCCTCCTCCTCCATGTAACCCACATTTTTAACCTGACAGGTAAAAGAGCCTGTAGCTTTCTTACTCTCTATTACCAGCTGAGTTCTGCTCCTCTCACCTCCTTTTTTTTAACCATTTATGTAATAAATACTCCACTCCCACTGTGAGTGGCAGAGAAAGGTGGGGGCGGGGACTGAAAGCGGAACAGAATAATGCATTTTTTCATCAAAAATTCCTTCTCTTCCACAACTTCAAGGTCTTCTCCTCTGAGCCACTTGAAAGGTGGGCAACAATGTGGCCACACAGTGAACACCTAGTTACCATATGAAACACTCCAGCAGTGAACTGGAGGAGACAGAGGAGGGAAGGAACTCTTGTGTTATTTATGATACCGGACCTTGTAGCTATATGAGCTCCCCCTTCATGTCTACCAGGAGGTATGGCCCCCATATGCTAAGGGCTGTAAGTGTAGCTTAAGAAAGTTTCTCTCCCTCTCCTACCCCCGCCTCCCCCGCCCCCCCTTTACAGTTCTCTGCTCCTCAGTCGGAGGTTTTGAAGAAGAGAGCTAGGCCGGCTCACTCTTTCATGGCTTTGAGGGACATTTTATATCGCCTCAGGTGTCTGTCAGTGTGACTAACAGTTCTAAGGGTGGAGAACTAATATCTCAGGAACTCGCCTGCAGGCAGCAGCACATAGATGTGTACCGTTGGTGGCTCACAATGAGGGAGACTCTCTTTAGAGGCACTCAGCGGCGGCGGTTACCACAGACGCGGTGAGCGGGTCGGCATTAAACAATGAAAGTACACGGCCAGAGCGCTCAGATGAACGCAATCATCTGTGACGCACGGACGGCTTTTATTTTAGTGGAGACCTGAGACCAAAGTTTTTCCAAGATCACGTGATCATACACCTTTATTTCTCATACCGACGAACCCGGACGACGCAGGTGAAACCGCGGGGTTGAACCCAGCTGTTCAGATTGAGACGCAAGGTTGCAAAGTTAAAGCTTGCACCTAAAAGGACGTGGCGGTCTCATGTCAAAGGTTGTCTACTCTTTTCACCTTCAAGCCTGGCTTTTGTCAGCTGCAGTAAAGGCATCACGGCGCCTTCCAGACTTCAATAACAAGGTCTGCAGCAGAGAAGAGGCGAGGCAAAGAAAAGACAAGGTCTCGCAGTAAAGAGACGCTCGCAAGTAAACAGTAGGAAGGTCATCTGAACCTGAAGCACAGCGAGATGTTCAGGGCCTTCTTTCCATTAAGGATGTTCTAAAAAGAAGAAAAAAAAAACATGACTATTCAGAGTTCACAAATGTATGGGCACAGCGGCGGAAAGATCATCTTTCTTCGTACCCCGAGCAGCTTTATTGTTTCATTAAGGAGAAGGATGGAAAGGCCTTTCACACAGAGAACTCAGCAGCACAAAGGAGGAACAACTCTGCTCCTCGCTGTTTGTGTCCGAGCACTATTATCCAAAACAGACATTCTGGAATCTCTTCCCCGGAACACATCCGTCTCTTAGAACTATATATTATTCTGTAAAACACAAGACATACAACTTGATTGCGAACAATACATTTTTTAAAACATCAAAGATGACGCTACAGTCAGAGTTTAAAAGACAAAACACCGCAATCAACACATCGGCAACAAAGATAAGATGGGAGGAAAGAAAGAAAGAAAGAAATGAAGAAAGAAAAGAGAGGAGGGGTGAGCTGAGGGGGAGTAGAAAGAAAAGAGAGGAGGGGTGAGCTGGGGCGGGGGGACGAGGGGGGAGTCAGAGCAGGGAGATGAAATGGAG